CCGGCACCGGGATTGCAAGCCTCGGTGTTGCTCCCGCGCCTCGCTCAGCCAGTGAGCGGGAACCGGTCCATACGTGGGATCCGAACCCTCGGGCGGGAGCGCCGCCGCGCCTCCCAAGCGGCGCACTATCCAGTGCGCCACCGGGCCGGCCCGACAATTTGTTTATTCTATAACTTACTGCATATGTACATGAAAATGTTTACCAAGAGACCTTAGAGATTCTACCCTCCCATCTCCTTTATTTCATGGCCCCAAATTGCCCCAAGGTCATACAGCAACTACTCAGTAGCAATTCAGAGAAAATGTCACCACAAGATACACTGCTTAGATATCCGAGATCACTTTTCAAATCCATTACACATTCTCAGACAGGATGATATAGTTCAATTAAATTCAGTAGAGTCAAATTATGATGATTTTCAACTATCCATTTTCATATAAATCTTGGTATTTCCAGTAGACCCTCATAGAATAGCGCGTGTCATAACAGGTGTGCTTCTACAGTGAGAAAACCAAGGGTAATATGACAGCCTTCAGAAACGGTTTAATTGGAAAACCACATAAAATAGCAATATACAAAGATACTTCAATGAGGCTACAAGCTTCCCAAGCTTTCAAGAAAAAATGAATGTTAACCTGATTGACATTCCTAAAAACAGTGAGTTAACAGAGTGAAACCCCTGGCTCCCAGAGCCAGTGATCCCCTCTGAGAAAGGCTGTTCTAGATCCCAGAGCCCAGAAGTATTACAGCCTGCTTCCACACATGCCAGGCTGGCAGGTTTTTCAGTTGTTGGGTACTTAACTGGCATTTTGGTCGTTCACATCAATCTCCTGAGTGTGGTTAATAATGTTGGAATAAGAAACCACCTAAAAGGCTAATAAAATGAGTTTCTGAGCCCACAGGACTAGGGGAGGCTTCCAGGTGAGCCTCCTGCAAGCCAGCTTACGCGGCTTCCCACAGACAATGACCCTGCTTGCTGCAGGGAGCCTCATACACGATAGCCAAGCTTTGAAAACAGAGTTATAGTGGCTGGCCAGTTAGCTCAGTTGGTTGCAGCGCGGTGTTATAACACCAAGGTCAATAGTTTGGATCTCCTACTAGCCAGCCACCAAAAAAATAAAAACAGGGTTATACGTGGTGGCAATGTGTTTCTAATACATATGGGGACTGGGGGGAAAATCTTCACAAAAGTGGTTTCCTTCCACTATTTTGTCCCGAGAGTTTTGCTACATATCCAGATTCAATTAACTAAAGTACATTTAAGTCCTCACTACCTATTCCAGCGGCTTTCTGGGAAAAAGGAAAAGGGTGTTGTTTGAACAACCTCTTCCTCAAAGCCATCAGGTTGGAACTTAAGATGGTACCACAGGAGGTAACAGGTTACCCTTTCTTGGTCCCCCCACTCCGGGCTCCCGGAACACCATCCAATACAGGAGGAGATACTCACCATGTCGGCTATGCCAGGCCCCAGGCGGTCACATTGCTCCTTGGCATGTTCCACCAAGGAGTCGACAAAAGTGGAGTTGGTCCTGACAGCACCCTGGATGTCAGTCACCATCTGAATGCAGTCCTGGCAAACGTCCCCACCAGCCTACAGAGAAGGGACAGTCAGGACAGCAGCACTCCAACTAAGAGGACTCAAATTCCTGGAAAAATGTCCTTATATACTCATGACCACAGCAGTGGGGGCTCACTAAACAGTTCCCAATGTGTTTTATAGGCTCAAAAATTACTGAAAGGTTCAAAACCAATTGGGTGGTCACTGTAGTAACAGTACAGTATAGAGGGGAAGGGGTGCCTTTGCAAATTTTAAATAACCCCATTCTTTGGAAATGCTATGGTACAACCACTTGAAGCTTGTTGGCTCATGTAACTGCAGAGCCAAATAAAGGGATAAGCCCCCAGTTTATGAATCACGCACACACACTACCCTTCCATATCTCATCTCCCATGCCACCAAAATCAGGGTCCTCAGTGGCTGGGCCCGCTGCCTTACCTGAGGCTGGGGCTTGCTGCGGGGGCCGTCCTGAGGGTAAAGGAGGAGCGGGATGTTAGCCATGAAGGGAGCCACCACCTCGGTCATGTCCAGTTCTGGGATCTTATTGGACTCGAGCTGCTTCTGGTGATTCAGCTCTGCCAGGTGCTTCTGAAGAGACTCGCAGAGGCTGAGCGCGGAGCACACCTCCCCGGGATGGCTCTGCTGGGAAAGAAGCGCAGCTGAAAAGCCTCTCCCCAGAGGAGAAAACAGTACAGGCCACTGAATTAGTCCCTCTCCTTAAAGCCCTTAGAAACAAACATAAAACTTTGTTGTCCAAGTTCAAACCGCTTAGCATACCTGAGAACAACAACAAAATTAACAATCCATGTGCCTAACTACACAGCAGCCTGGAAGCTTCTGACATGTTCTCTGTTCCCCACCTGCTCTTTGATGGAATATGAGCAGCTGGTCAGCAATTCTGAGCCACTTTCCCCAAGGAGCTAATGCAGTCCACTGGAGGATTCACCTGCCACACACTGACAGCTCCCAAATTTTTCTCTTACCTTGACTTACAAACACATGGTCACCTCACAGACATCTCGAATGACCCCCCGATTCTCCCTGCTCTATCTGCTCCCCCTCCAAACCACTTTAGCAAATGACTCCACCACCATCTTCCCAGAAACCTGGAAAACATTCCTAACTCTTCCCTCTCCTGTACCTCCCACCTCCCCTCCATGAGCAAGTCCAATCCATTTATCCTCCCAAAGAGCATTTGCACCTGTCCACCTCCACTGTCCCTACCACGTCTCACTCACAATGTGACAACCTCCTGGGTGTCCTGCCAGCTTCCCCTCTTGCGGCTCCCCATCAATAGGACCTAGACAAACCCTTTGAAAAACATACCTATGATCATGTCACTCCACTCCTTGAAACACTCCGAGGACTTCCTGCTGCACTGGCAATCCTTGAACATGGCCTAGAAGGCCTTGCCTGACACAACCTCTGCCTTTCTCACCAAAACCTTGGTCCTGGTTCCAGGACACTCCTGCACCACTGGCCCTCTTCAGCTTCTTAAACTTTACTCTTCTTTCTCAGGCCCTTTCCAACTTCCACAAAGCTAGCTTCTTGTTCATTGCTGAAAACCCAGCCTCTGGCATGTGATTTGTGCACGATACACGCTTGCTGAATGAAAGATGAGCATCCTTGTCGTTGAACCCACAAGTACATTCTCTGAATTTTTCCTTAATAATAATGTCATAGAAATGGAAGTATTTGCTTGCTCAAAGGGTCAGTTAAAGATCTGCCATGAGTTATCCCTCTGGTGTTTATAAATGTTATGCCAGTCCACATTCCCCTAGCAATTCCACCAGTCCCCATTTGCAGCAGCCTCCACAACCCCAGGAGGTGGTTACCAGCAGAGTGGCCTTGCGTGCTAGAGCTATTCTGGATGCCAGGACTGTACTGAAGAGCTGCTGAGGAAATCCAAAGCTATGAACAGACTTTGCACTGTAATCCCTCTACTCTGAGCTGGCACCTCACCCGGGCTCCAGAAGTACCTTGAAGAAAGAGCCCATCCTCCACCTCTTACCATCTCTCCTTTAATCATGTCCATGATGACTGGGAGATAGGAGTCAACCACCTCCTTGCACGAGGCAGACAGGTTTGGTTTAGGAAGCCAGTCACAGGTCCTCTCCAAGTAAACGAGGATCTCTTCCTATGAGAGGACACAGGCAGGGCTCAGAACCAGGATGGCCTTCTCCTTGCCAACGGGCTGAAGGCAGGCAGCCCTGCATGACTCCCCCAAACAGCAAGCCTGGAAAACAGCCCACCCTCAGGGCAAAGGACCCATGGCTCCGTCAGATTGACAGGCAAAAGCAAAGAAGACAGTTCAAAATGAAGATCCTTTGACCCACAGTTCCACAGGCACAGGGAATGCTGAGGAGATAGCCAGATGGAACTAGATGCTAAGGGCATGCGATATAAAAATCCTAATTAAAGCTGGACATTTAATACTTGGTCCAGGGATCAGCAAACTAGGCCTTTCAGCCTATTTTGTATAGGCCAGAGCTAAGAATGTTTTTTCACATTTTTAAAGCTTTTTGTTTGTTTAAAGAGAGAATAAATGACAGACACAGTATGTGGCGTACAAAGCCTAAAATATTTCCTACTTGGCCCTTCACAGAAGACATCTGCCACCCTCTGGGCCTAGACCACTTTTCTGTAGACCCTCAAGTCTCAGCTTGTGTAAGGAATGTGTGCACGCGGCCACGGCTCACACACCATCCCCACTCACGACCGCTCACCTCCGTGGCATTGTCTTTTAGCATGTCACCTGCAGCAGTAATGACGTCTTTGCATATGTCGCAGGGAAGGGATTTCTAAATGGAAAGAACATGAAAGAGAGATTTGTATTTGTAGGACACAATTCACACCCACCAGCTGAAAACCCACATGGCTTTCTTCTTATTCTGTCTAAGCAGTGATACGGTCAAGGCCACATTCCACTGTCACATCCTGGTTCCCCAGTCTATGTGAGAAGCACTGGACCACCACCAGGAGGGAAGAGGTGTGACTTACTAGAAGACTCTGGGCTCCTACAGAATGGATGACCTTTTCTTGTACCCTCTACCCCTCTTCACCCTACTCAGGGTACATTGTACAGGTCAATTTCATGTTAATGCTCACAACTCTGTGAGCTGAGGAAACTGAGGCTCAGAAAGATGACACTGCAAGGGGCCGGACCGTGGCTCACTTGGGAGAGTGCGGTGCTGATAACACCAAGGCCACGGGTTCGGATCCCTATATAGGGATGGCTGGTTAGCTCACTTGGGAGAACATGGTGCTGACAACACCAAGACAAGGGTTAAGATCCCCTTACCGGTCATCTTTTTTTTTAAAAAAAGAAAGAAAGAAAGATGAAACTGCAGAGCCGTATCACTGTCACAGCATAAGAGCTGAGTGGGGCGGGGGTTGCCTGCACTTCACCTGCCTTCTACCTCCCAGGCAGTGCTGGGTGCAGGCGAAGGCCCTATCACCCCGCCCAAGCCAGTCTTCTGACAAGCCTGCGTGTCGGGGCCACCCGGCCCAGGAGCCATGGAAATTCTAGTTGGTTCTTGCAGCTCTTGGGGAGAAATACACAGGCTCCCTTCTTGGTGTCAATTCACCTTCAACCCACTGGAGAAGAAACTAACATTTCTGGGTGAGATTAAGGGACCCCTGTGGATGTAGACGCATTTAGAGAAGACAATTTGAACCTTTGGACCTAGTCAGGCTAATGCCATGCATAGGGCCAAACCAAGAGGAAGCCAGGCATCCAAGAGACCATCAGATCAAACACACAAGGAGGAAGCAGTGTTAAAAACAAAACTAAAAACAAATTAGACACCAAATCTGAAAGTAGTTCCGGCCACAGAAGGCACTTTTCCAGTGATTAGCTCAGAAACTATTTCTAAAAGAGCAGTGTTATTTGATTTCGTTTTCTCCTCTTACTGAAGGAGTGCTAGTGGCCACCGATGAGCTGTAGGACTCAAACTCCACTCAAACAGGGCCTGCTCCACACGACGGCCAGCACGTCCCATGGCGAGCCCAGAGCAACAGCTCCGCCTTCTGCTGGTGCGATCGGCTCAGCGCAGTCTCCCCAGAGGTTGGGGACCCATGAAGAATACACACGAGCCTTGTTGTCTTAGACTATTTCCTGTAGCTCCGCATTAATATGCTATATTTAACACCATTCAGATGAAAAATCAGTGGTCTCTTTCCCAGTGACTACAGTTGGAAATAATATTTTAAATAACTACGAAGCTCTAGGGTCTCATTCCGTGGTTTGCCTGTTTGAAAGGGCTGAGGGGAGAACAAAATACTAAACAAGGGGAAAGAACCTAAACGCTTAGCATATACTCTTTGGAGTGAGTGGAGGATGGAGCTGTCCTGTCCCGTGCACCTAGTCCTGCAACCTGCAGGTCCCTTATCTAGAGTGGGAAGTAGGATCTGCACAGAGGCCCGGAAGGCAGCGTGGGGTGCACACAGCAGTGGGCATGAGGCACCTCATCCTACCTCTGCCACCAAGAGACCAGGTGACCTTAGGGGAATGGAACCCTAACCTCTCTGAGCCTCCATTTCCTCTGCACTGAAATAGTACACCCAGTGACAGGTTCTGCCTCCCATGCAGGGTCACAATGAGGCAAACGAAAACAGGCAAGACAAAGTGCTCTGTCAATACTGCAGTGAGTTACGACAATATCAAGGGACCAAGCACAGTGCGAAGGGACCCTCAAGGAGGGCTGGGGCCAGAGGGCGGACAAGGCGCGCACCACAGTCGGCTTGTTCCAGACGGTCTGCAGGCAGTGCTTCACAGCCCCGCAGCTGGCTGCCGTCTTCACGTTCTGACACCACACCGCCGAGCCTCGGGTGCATTCTTTCAGGCCTAGGACAGGGCCGGCGACAGCTGAAAGGAAAACCAATATGAGAAAGTGGCCATTTCCTGACAAACCAGGCACCCTCGCTTGTTCACCCAGGGTCAAGGTCTGGCTCTGACCTGTGACACTCTAGACTAGACCCTCACCCGGCTGCCTGCAACACAAACCTCACAGCCACATAACTGTCCCCAGCAAGACACGGGGCTGGCCTAAGTCACAATACTAGCAGGGACTAATTTATCTGGTGCATTTTTATCCTCTCCAACTATTTTTAAACAGTATCAGGCAGTATCAGGCCTTTCCATCTTTACAACCTTAAAAGGTTTCCATAAGTAATGAAAGGAATCATAGGAGAAAAGACTGATAGATTTAAATATAGAAAAGATTTTAACTTCTGTAGAACAGCTGTAGAACAAAAGTTTTTTTAAAATCTGGGCGAAAACACCAAGATTTGTATCCTTATTACAAAGAACAGTGATTCAAAGTTGTTCAAGTAGAATAGCACTTCTCACTAGCAGAAAACAAGACTGCATACGCCACCTCAACACCACAGAGTGACCACGTGCTCACTCAAAACCAGGTGTGCAGCACTTCACCTAGTGCTGTACAGAGTCCCATGCAGCGACAGGATCAGGAAAAAAACAGACGAAAGGTTCAACATCACCTGAGACCAAAGAAATGCTGGTTAGGGCTGGCCCGGTGGCGCACTGGATAGTGCGCCGCTTGGGAAGCGCGGCGGCGCTCCCGCCGAGGGTTTGGATCCCACATACAGACCGGTTCCCGCTCACTGGCTGAGCGAGGCACGGGCGCAACACCGAGGGTTGCGATCCCGTTGCCGGTCCCGGTCCGGTGCAGGGGCGACGCTGAGGGTTGCGATCCGTTGCCGGACACGGAAAAAGACAAAAAAAAAAGAAATGCTGGTTAAAGCAAGGTGCCATTATTTTGAAAGTTAAATTAGCCAAAAGAAAAATAAACTTGTCACGGGACAGTTGTAAAAGAACTTGTAGTAAAAGATTCATTCTTAGGGCCGGCCCGTGGCTCACTTGGGAGAGCATGGTGCTGACAACACCAAGTCAAGGGTTAAGATCCCCTTACCGGTCATCTTTAAAAAAAAAAAAAATATATATATATATATATATATATAATTTTTTTTTTTTTTCATTCTTCTAGGGCTGATAGCAGTGTAACTGGGTGAATACTTCTCAAAATAACATGTTTCAAAAACTGAAAAAAATCCCTCTTCAAAAAGCAAAATCCACTTCTAGAAAAACATTAAGGAAATACAGCAATTTAAGAGGTAAAATATGACATGCATAAATATATTTGTTGAGTATAATCTACAATACTAAAGACAAGGAGATGTAGCCTGAATGGCCAAAAATAGAGGGAAAAAAACTAATGATGTTTTACTAAAATATTATGTAGCTGTTAAATATACTTAAAGATGATGTATATAAAATAGGAAAAAACAGAAAAAATTCCAGAAGAATATGACATAATACAGGAGCTGTATAAAGATCAGAAAAGAATAAATAAAGCAGGACGGTGAGCTGAATTACTAACTTTTAAATTCCCAATGTTATGTTGTATGTGTAGATTTTTTTTTTTTTTTTAAAAAGATGACCGGTAAGGGGATCTCAACCCTTGACTTGGTGTTGTCAGCACCACGCTCAGCCAGTGAGCAAACCGGCCATCCCTATATGGGATCCGAACCCGTGGCCTTGGTGTTATCAACACCGCACTCTACCGAGTGAGCTACAGGCCGGCCCAATATGTGTAGAATTTTAAAAAAATATTTTATAAGCTGCCTTGAGAATGCCTATGTTTCCTAAAATGGGCCTATGATATCCTTCATTAAAGAACCAAGAAGTGGGGCAAAACCCCTCAGATTCACGACTCACCCCTAACCCAACTACCCAGCTGGGAAACAACAGATTACATGAGACTACACTTAGAAGATGACGCACGGGGGCCAAACTCCAGCAGACATCACAGCAGGGTTGAACCAACCTCTGTCATAAGTAGGAAACACTTGACCAAGTCTAAGTGGAAAACCCCACAGCCACCCAAGAAATGTTTTTAGAACCTTGGTAGTCATGCTGTATGCTGCTTCACCTTGTAAGCCACACGAGGGCACAGGAATTCTATATGCACGTTAACACACAACTGGTATATGTACACATGAAGGCAGGTGAGTGTTCTTCCTCCAGGAGAGGTAAAGGAAAGAAATGCTGACATTATTACTTCCACAAGCTACTCACGCAAAGACTGAGTCCCAAAAAGCTCAAGTCAGATCACCTGTGTCCCTTCAGACACCAGCGAATTGATTATTAATCTGCTACCCAAGTTATAGCTTTCCCTGTCTCTTGGGAGAAAAACCACAAATACTACCAGTTCAGTCTCAGCTGAACTGGCCACACACCAAAAGCTATTGGTTTGACTCTGGTTTCTGTGCGAAAACATGTCCCAGACTCAAAACATTACTAAGTTCACCAGATGGCTCACCAAAGTTTGATTAACCTATAACATACCCAAGCTAGGCTGGTGCCTGCCTCAGTTGAGGCCCAGGGCAGAGGGCGGAGTGGAGGCAGAATTTGAGTCATGAGGGTAAGGCTCTGGGGAGCGTGGGGTCACAGAGACAGCATGAATGGGAGCTCCATGACCCAGAAGCTCCCATCATGCCCTCCCAGGCACTGAACCGTACGACTCCTGAAAATCACCCACCAAGATACACTGCCTGGTTCTACCTCCAAATTAGGAAGGAGCCCAAGTGATGAACACAGCACTATCAAAATGAGTCTCTAGAAAAGGAACACACAGTGATACACAGGGAAGCCAGAAGAGGATGGACTCAGACGTCAGCGGATCAGAGCCAAGACAGAAGACTTGCCATGAAAAGCAGGGGCAAGGGACCACTATTCTCCATTCTTACAAATGCTCTGTCACTAAGTAAGTATAATTCTGATCCAGCTATTTTCTCCAACCATCCAGCCAGGAACTGGCTACAACTGACCAAAATTTATCAGGTTTCCGGGAACACAACTCACCATCACAGGCCTAAGCAACAAGAATACTTTGTAGGTTACAGGAACTTGAAACAGTAACCATTTTCAATAATGATTTTGGTATTTGGTTGGCCAGGCTATTCTGGACTGAAAATAATCTTGGGTAGCCCCTTTCATCTGTCTTTGGTCCAGCTAACAAAACCCACTGTCACTTCCCGATCCTAAAGGTCACTGTCAATCAGTGACCCACTGGGTGGTGACAAGCCTCTACCTCTGAACTAAAGGTAAAAAGGTACACATGGTGGAGATGTCTGTATGCCTATGAAGTCATTGGGTTCCAACCTGAAAGAAATTCCATGAACACTGAGAAATAAAACTTAAGTCTCAGCTTCTAGAAATTTCCTTTTTAGCAAGACATCCCCATCTGCCTCCAACCTAAAGCCAAATTTATAAGGGTGCATATGAGAAAAACAGTCTGTGGTAGGCAGTAGATTTGGTTTCCTAAGACGCGCCGACGTATGTTAACAGAAGCGACAGCATGTCCTCAGGATGGGTAGCGCAAGGCTGAAACCCAAGCCTCAGGTGACATCGGTGGGTGACCTGCTGCTGAGGTGCAGGTGCCGACTCCCAGAGCTGGACTCCTGAGAGGCAATCAAACAGTAGGTCAGAACCTTTCAGAGACATAAATCCCCTTCCCAGGAAATGTATTTATACACAAAATTCTCACGCCATTTCAGGAGGTTCTCAGGGACCCAAGCTGTGGACTTACAAAGCTCTAGGGGCAAGGGTGGTTTTCCTCCACACCAGTGGAAAACAACTGGGAGGAAGGCACGGTTAACCACCTCCACTAACTAGGCCAAGCCCGGTGCCCTCAGGCAGGAGACCAAAGTGAACAGCCACTTTTCTCTCGATAACCCCAAAATGAGAGGGCAGACATCTCAGTAATGGTGACGTGATTCAGCAGAAACACAGGGGAAACCGTGTGCCAGAAGCAGAAACAAAAGACTAAAGAAGCCTTCCTCAAGACAAAATTGGAAATGGCACCTGAGAGACGGTGATATCAAAGACAGACTAAGTGGAGAGGGGGTAGGGGAATCCCAAAATGTTCCAAAAGAGAGCAGTTTCTCTTTGGCAAAGGGGAAAAACTGTCGTTTGTCTTTTCAGGAGCAGAGCACAGGGAAGTGGCAGGAGGCAGGTTGCACAGGCAGACAGATCTCATGCACGCTGGGAAGGGCCTTGTCCGCCACACTCACCCCGAAGTGATGGGTGCACCCTGTGGGCAATATTACAGGAACCTCTAGGGAGTTCTGAGAGAGGACAGGACAAGCAGGCTCCCGTCTGTGTCCTAACTACCCAGGCATGAGGTGGCAGAAGAACTGAAAAGGAGGCAGGAGGTACAGATGATGGGGCAGCTAACTGGAAGGCTAATCCAAAGCAAAAAATGGTGGCTGAGAGAGCCTAACCGAAAGATTCCAGAAGAACCAGACAGACAGGAAAATTGAGCTGACAAGGTTCAAAGGGAAGTCTGTCCTGCTGAGAGAGAGAACAAAGCAGCAAGAGGCAAGCGTGTGAGCATGTGGATGGCACACGTGCCTGCGAGCACAGTGAGGTGAGGGCATGGGATGTCATGCCAGAGTCCCTTCGAGGACTGGAGATGTCTAAGTCAGACAAAGAATGTTTTGGAAGGGCCGGCCCGTGGCTCACTCGGGAGAGTGTGGTGCTGATAACACCAAGGCTGCGGGTTCAGATCCTCCAATAGGGATGGCTGAGCGTGGTGCTGACAACACCAAGTGGTTAAGATCCCCTTACCGGTCATCTTTAAAAAAAAGAATGTTTTGGAAGGGCCGGCCCGTGGCTCACTCGGGAGAGTGTGGTGCTGATAACACCAAGGCTGCGGGTTCAGATCCTCCAATAGGGATGGCTGAGCGTGGTGCTGACAACACCAAGTGGTTAAGATCCCCTTACCGGTCATCTTTAAAAAAAAGAATGTTTTGGAGATACACACAGTCATCTTCAAATAGTCG